AGTCGAATCCGTTCAAACACGTGGGCCAGAGGTTGTGGTCCTTTTTATCTGTGGACTTGTGGCAATCACTTCGAAAATGGCGAAGTCCGATACTTCCAAGAGGGTAAGGAAAGTCTCTTTTCTCTTCTTTCCATATTTTTGAGGTTAGCTCCGAAGATAGATTTGGATTAAAGAGACAATCTGTTAGATTGAAATCAATGTAAACTGTAAGGCAACCAAACTTCAGAGTATCTTAAATCCTCCACATGCTTTTTAAAAAGCATATCAAGCTGTTTAAAAAAAGTGACAATTCCATTAAGTTTTAATTACAAAGAGAGCCTAAGAATATCAAGGGCATAGTGTCGCTGCAAACATGTTTCCCTGCGGCTGAGCACGTGTTTAAATTGCGCAACCACATGCGGCGTCAAGCTTCTTTTAAATTTTGAAAAATTTTGGCTTTTATCGCAGGGAGGAAGGGTGATTATCAATTTTTTCAGCAACAGAAATATCGAGTTTGTCTTTTGAGCCAAACGGGCAAGGGTCAAAACCTTTTTGGCCATATACTTTCATTTTAAAATCAAGGATCAGTGTTCACGTAATCGGCTCGCGATTTCTACATCCTCGCGCAAAACAAGAGTAACTTTCATTTTCATTGTGTAGTCTCTCTTTTCATTATCTGTCGAACATTCAAATTTTTTTTGCGCTGAACCATCGCAATGTGATCTTCAATGCGCATGTAAATTCATCTTAAAGAAGGAGAGACGTAGAAAAAAGAGTTTGTAATAGGAACTCGTATTTCAATGGCCGTTTTCACACTAAAGGACGGACAAATCGTCTGGACGGACAAATCGACTGGCATTTGTTCGTCGAATTTAAATTCGAGAAGGCCATATGCCGAAAAGTTGTCCGTCTTATGAGCGCAAAGAGAACTGGCACAAGGTCGTGCTGTAAAGCAAAATGGCTGCTGCCATTCTCATAAAACCTTGCCGCCATTCCCATAAAACCTCGCTCTGTTGCCAGTCCCGTTTCCTTGAGGCGAGAAAATCAAACATTTCACCATCTGATATGAATTTAAGTCGTACTGTCGTCAACTTGTTCGTCTCGACGGACAAATCATCTTATAAAAATTGTCTTTCTAGGCGGCCAAATATCAGATGATTTGTTCGTCAAAAATTTGTTCATCCTGTTTTCACATCAGACGATTTGTTTGTCTAAGACGATTTGTCCATCCAGACAATTTGTCCGTCCTCTAGTGTGAAAACGGCCATTAACAACCAGAAATTGAAAAACGTGGATAAACCTCTGAAGAAACACTGCAAGATTCTATTGATTTGTTGGCTGTAACAACTAGAAAACATGTTTTGGTACCTAGATTTGCAACACAAGCTGCCCAGTTTGTGACCTGTGATGGTGGTAATGTGGGAAGTTGTAATATTTTTCACATTTGTTTTCGGTCTTAAGTCAGAGAAAATAATAATGAAGATCTATTGAAATTTAATGTGCTCACAGGAGTTTTAAGCCTTGACATGTTACATGAACCTCTTAAAACCAAATCCAGCCATTGTGCTTTTTTCCAACGACAAGTGGTGTGGTCAGCAGTTTTGTCTATCATGCACATCTGTCTTTTTTCCTTCCTTTGGTAACTAACACTAAGAAACTGATAACTTTGGTGTGACTAGAACTGACTTTGAACGGCATTTAGTCACAATGTATGGCCATGTATTGGAGTTTGTCATTGTGGCATAATACACAAGGAGAACGATGATGAATATGAAATTAAAAACAAGCAGCCAATATGGTAGCACAAGTAAAAAGGGAATCTGAAGCTGAAATGTCTACTGCAATTTCGACTTCAACTCAGCTTGATCTTTTTATTGAGGAAAAGGTAGTAAATGTGTCTAAAAAGCTTCACAAAGAAAAAAAGTCTAAGGCCAAGGTAGAGAAACCTCAAGCAATTAATGGAACAAAGAAAGTCAAGGTTAAAGTCCAGAAAAAGCCAGGCAAAGGTAAACCAGAGAAGCCTCCTCCAGTACAGGTAGACTCGGACGTAAGTGAAGATATACTGGTTTCCTTTGTTTTGTTTCATTTTGTTTTGTTTTGGCTTTTTGTCATATTGTATGTGATGATAAATAGGAAGCATTGGAAGGAAGATGTAACAGAACCATCACCTGAATTGAAGCATTAATATAGATGCACAAAAATTTATTTATTACTCTCTAAGTGTAATATTTGAAGATATTGGAATTATAATCATAGGTGAACTTGAGAGAGTTTATCTTTGTCTTGTTAAGATATCTTAAAACTTTTGAGCCTGCAAGTTGGGGTCTCTTGTTGGCCTGTCAGGCTTGATATTATCTGAAAAATGGCCAACTGGTCAGTGAATGATTGATCAAATATCTGGCAGTTAATTTAAGAGGGGTTGATCACTCAGAAATTGCTGTATGGAATGCAAGTCAATCCCTAAGATACCTTGGTGTTCACCCTTTTATGACCATACAAAATAAATCTTTCAGAAACTTTTCCTTTTTTATCTGAATACTATTTGTTGTTGGATTATTTGCTTCTTTGAGAAAGCATGATTTCAAATCTTTTTCAGCATTGCTCTACTGTTTATAATTTTGCTTCTACACTCATTTGTAGAAATTTTATCATAGGCCACTTCCTGATTTCTTAACATTTTTGCTTTTTATAAAAATTTTTTATCCTTAACAGGATTCAAGTTCAGACGAGGATGAAGCTGCGTCAAGGTACTCATCAATATGATTGGTTGTCTGTTCAAACCTCCAAAGTCGATTCATGTGAAACCTCTTTTGACCCTTGCTTTTTAAAGTTCCTCTTTGTTAAACAGTTACTTGCTGAACTCAAGAAACATTCAAATTGAGTTGGTCTTTTGCAGCCTAACTTTAAGCTTTTAAAAATATTTAATCTGGTTCCTACTGAGTCATCTTAATAACAAAAATACCCAGGACAGAACTTAAACTATTATGGAACTACTAAACAATAACTGATGCTACAATTTACTTTTTTGCATGTTGTGTCCAAATCAACTTGAAAACATCCTCTTGCTTAGCAAAAACAAGCTAGTTTGCATCATGGATGTGACAAACCATTCTTGAAACACCTTTGGCTAAATATTGAAGTTCCTAGGTAATGTTTCTCTCACTGGTGTACTAGAATTTGAAAGGGCTTGTACCCTGATCACCTAATCTTCCTCCTTATTTTTCAAAAATTAAATACATGTACCTTTTGTTTTATGGTGAATCATTACAATGTGGACTGTTGATGCTAGATTATGTAATTCCATCTTCAGAAAACAAGTTTACAATAAAGACCAAATAAAGCAAGGCATCACTGCAACACAAGTTGGCACATCAAGTGATGAGTCTTCTTCAAGTGATGGTGAAACAGCCAAGACGGTGAAACCACAGCAAACTAAAGCACAGTCTTCAGATTCTTCTGATTCTTCAGATGAAAACAAGAAAACAAAACCTACCAGAAGGAAGAAGCTTAACAAGAAAACAGAGCAAAAGAAGTCAAATGGGAAACTAGCTGGAGGAGTGGCTGTTAAATCACTTGCCCATTCAAGCTCTGATTCATCAGAGGAAGAAGAAAAAAATCCTTCAAACTCAGAGCAGTTAGTGAAGAAACCTAAGAGTGAATCATCAGAATCCAGCTCAGATTCCTCAGATGAAAAGAATAGAAAACCAAAAGCTGGAAGAGAGAAAGGGATGAAAAAGAAAATATCACAGCTTAAAACAGCTTCTTCTGAATCCAGTTCTGATTCTTCTGATGAAGAAGAGGAAAAAACAAAAGCAGTCCTAGAGATTGAGAATAACAAGAATGCAGTCAAACCCAAAGCAGCAGCTTCTGAATCCAGTTCCGATTCATCTGATGAAGAAGAGGAAAAACTAGNCTGATTCTTCTGATGAAGAGGAAAAACCAAAAGTAGTCACAGAGGTAAAAAATAAAAAGAAAGAAGTCAAAACCAAAAAAGCTTCTTCTGACTCCAGCTCAGATTCCTCAGATGAAGAAGAGGAAGAATCAAAAGTAACAAAAATACAGAAAGGAAATAAAAGTAATGAAGTGAAAGGTAAAGAAACATCTTCTGATTCTAGCCCAGATTCTTCTGATGAAGAAGGTGGACAGAAAGTAAATAAAAAAGGAATTAAAAAATCCAGCAATTGGGTTGTAAAGGAAACAAATGAGGAGATGGGGTCTGATTCGGATTCAAGTAGTGAGAGTGAAGATAAACAAGCTGTTGAGGAGACAACCCAGGCCAAGAAACGGAAAAGCAATTTTCCTGATGACGAGGCATCTGAATCAGCCAAGGCCAAGAAATCCAAGAAGCTGAAGGTAGACACGAAGTATATGCACATTTGTCTAAAGTTTTAAAACTTAAGGATGTTTTAAATTACCTACCTTTGTGACATCAATTTTGTCAGTCATCTATTGTCAGTTGACCAACTACTCGCATAATCAGCTGCCTTATTTGGCCATCTTGCTAAACAATATATGCAGGTACATGCACACAAACAAATGCATGTCATTGACACTGGTTGAAAAAAAAACTGGAAACTAAAAGAGCTAAGGTCATGAATAAAAGCTGATGTTACTCTGAATTTACAAAGTTTTCTGTAAGACTGCCTGATATTTTGTGTATTGTGGATGGGATTCAATAAGAGAATTTATCAACAAAATAGGATAATGTTTCTCCAGTGTGCTCTGTGTATCATTTTGTCATTATAGTTTATTGTCAAGTTTCACGGTCAGATCATTTTGCATCATGGTTAGATCATTGCACAAAAACCTTTAGGTTGTATCAGATTATATATCATCAGAATGTGCCAATTTACTTAAACACCAAAAGAAACCCTCTCTTTTAGTGGTAATGTCCTCTGAAATTTCTCACATATCTGCATTAAAAAGGAAAATCCGTAGTGATTAGTTGAATTTATTGAAAGCAAAAATCCAACATATGTGCATTAACATAAAGGTAGACCCAGTCAAACAATTCCAAAATTACTCTGATCAGCACTTTTCTTAGTGAAATGTGGATTTGTCAATAAACTGAGTGAAAATTTCATTTCTCCTGTTTGTTTATATCATATACCAGGTCTACAGGTGGTTATATAAAACAGGCATTCTGTAATGTAGTGAAAAATCATTTCTACACTGGGTGTCAACTTATCTTAATCCAGAACACAATAAACCATAATTATTTGTATTTTGTTAGTAGTGACTATTATTAGATGAAACTGATCCAGCATTGTTCTTCAGTTAACAATTTCCCTAATTAAATGTGAAGTTAATTCTTATAATCTCTGCTGCACATTGTTTTTATTCACCTCTATCACTGTAGTAACAATATTCAATTCTATACATAGGCTCATATGTTCATTGACCACTCAGCTAGTCAATAATGACAATTGGTGTATCGCAGAAGATCAGTGCCCTTGTTTTTAAGTCAGTGCAATCATTACTTTGGAAAGCTAAGAGATCGTTTTATGAGATGACATTTCCTAGGGACCAGTGTTACATCAGTGTTTTATCTTTTCAGGAGCCTGTGACAGAAAATGAGGAAGGATATAAACAAAAAAGAAAGGCTGACACTAATGGTGAAGATAGTGGAGGCAATAAACTTAAACAAGATGGTGATGTTACTGAGAAAAGTAAGTTTAATTTATGTAGTGAAGTAAATGCTTGTTTTTCATGCTGCAATTTTTTAAAAAGTTCAGCCCCAGTTCAACTGTAGCATGCTTCGACAGAATTACCTAGCATGTGCTTGTTGGCCAGGCCAACAGTGTCCATCTACTTGCCAAGGTGTTTTGATAAATGAGGCTAAATGAAATTTAGGCAAGGTTAAAATCAAGGCACGATGGTCAGCGGAGGGCATGCTATGGGGCGCCCCCTTTGCAATTGCAGGGTCACGAGGTTTTCAGTACGTTTTGAGATCGTTGCCGATCCTAACGTGAGCTGCCTCTTGTGCTCCCACCCTCCCTCCTCTATGGCGGGCCAAGAGCAGGTAAGTATAAAACAATTCCACTGACTTGTCAGTGTGACGGGTGCCGGGGGGGTGGACCGAGGTTTTGTCACCATGGTAACCTCCCTGCTGTGGGTAGTCAGCGCCACTGCCACAGTGCTACGGCACCTTCCTCCAAGCTCATCAGTGCCGATGAGTTTAACCAAACCTCTTTATTCCTAAGGTATACTTAAGATGCCTTTACTTTGAAGGAGTAACATGATTTCACTCACCAACATTATAGCCAAGACATTGTCATTAATATTGTTATGATTATTACTATTACAACAGTTACAATTACTTTTTTAGGCAAGCCAGTTTTATTGTTGTTATTACTGCAATTTAATGTTGAAGAAAATGTATAAAATGTTTCAGTATCACTGTTTATTGGAAATTTGTCGTTTGACACCACTGAAGAAAGCCTTCAGGCTCTGTTTGAGGACAATGGTGTGACTATAGAAGAAGTGAGGATCATTTCGAGAGATGGAATATCCAGAGGGTAAAGTTATGTTCCATTTTTACACATCTTTTGTATGGTTATGTACAAATGCAAAGTATGCTTAAAGAAAACCAGGAAAAGCTGAAATTGTATGACCTCAATAATGTGAAGTAAAAGTCCTGTATAATAGATATGCGGCACCCTGAATTTAGCGGCTCAAATTTTGGAAAAAAAAAGTTCTATAAGTCTTACCCTCAATTTTAGCACTTTAATCTAATGAACATCGTTTCAACCAACTTTGACATATGATTGATCTTTTTTTGGTATTTGTTGACAGGAATTTCATCGTTCAACACCGTTGATTTGTTTTTGCTATGTTTGAATTTCAGATTTGGCTATGTCGATTTTTCAAATCAGGAAGAAAGTCAAAAGGGAATGGAACTTGATGGTTCAGAACTTGATGGTAGAATGTTAAGAATTAATTTAGCCGAGCAAAGACGCAACCAAGGTGAAAAAGGACAAGGTAACTCCAGGCGTGGAGGTGGTTCCAACAGGGGCCGTGGTAAAAGTACTCCATCGACCACCTTGATATGCCTTGGCTTATCTTACAACACGGATAATGACTCATTAAGGGGAGCTTTCCCAGACAGTGTAAGCGCACGAGTCATTACAGATAGGGACACTGGCAATCCAAGGGGGTAAGATTCTCCACCTTTTTTGAGTTTTTATTTATCATTCAGTATCTTGACTGTGTTGACCGAATGAGGTTGTTAGGAGAAAATGTCCAACTGAGACCGTGCTGTGATGACCAAGCATTATCAAAGTCATTGCAGCAGTGCACGGAATGAAATGTACTCAAAGATACCAAGCCCCTAAGCAGAAGAAAGCAATTACTTAACATTCGGTGCTGCTCAGGTCTGTATAATTGTAAAGAAAATGCGGTTCTTGTTTTTAAGAAAACTATTGTAACAGAGTGCATTTTTCAGAATCATAATGTTCGATTTTCATTATTTCTTTCGAGAACAAAATGTCTTTTTTGTGAAAAGGTACTTAGCACTTTGTCTTTCCTTTTGCATCCATTGCCTTTGTTGTAATTGATGATCAAATGTTTCTGTTGTAAATCATGCAAATCCCTTTCTCCCGTGGCCTCTTTTCAGTTTTGGGTATGTGGAGTTTAACAGTATCGAGGATGCACAGTCTGCAATATCTTCAATGGAAGGACAAGAACTGGACGGGCGTTTCCTTCGACTTGATTTTGCAGAGCCAAGAGGTTCCACACCTAGGAGTGAAGGTGGTAGAGGTGGCAGTAGGGGTGGTCGAGAAGGAGGAAGAGGTGGCTTTGGAGGAAGAGGAGGCTTTGGAGGCAGAGGGGGCTTTGGAGGACGAGGGGGCTTTGGAGGCAGAGGAGGAAGAGGTGAGTTCATTTCTTATTTTTTACCGGTATCTCTTTTATTTTACCTCAAAGAAGCTTTAAAGTTAATTTTAAGTTTTTTTGGCACCTTTACGGTAAGGTCTTTCACATGTCACCGAAGGGGAGATGAATATGATTTAATTATTTACAAATTATTGTAAGTAGACAGCCACTTTGGTTATGTAGCATACCTGTGGTGATAAATGACCGTGTAGCGCGACGTACGATAACACCGAGAAGTTGAGACTATTTGCCAAGTTATCATTTTTCTTCCATTAATGACCACATGACGATACTCTAAGGATCACTTTCTCTGAAAATTGATTGTGTATGATCCCTGTGCTATTGTGCGTGTCACACGAATGAGGTCTGTTCTCTAAGCAGAAGTACTCTGTTAAGCGATCTGATTTCTGTTTTATGTTTGTTTTAGGGCGAGGAAGAGGAGGATCTCCCTTTAGCGCTGCACGTAAAGGAAATATTCAGGAATATAAAGGGACAAAGATCTCTTTCGATGAATAGATGACTTGTACATTTGACCAACTTTACCATATACTATGTAAAAAGTTGGAGGCTATAGAGTATTTGTGCTGCTGTAGTATGGCTAAGTGTTATTCTTGGCCCATTCCATCTCTGTGTTAACACCTTTAGTAATCCCTTTTTTAGAGGTATGATTCTTATCTGCACAGAGTAAATTTATTCTTTTGTTTGCTAAATCATGCACAAACCCAAAGACAACTGAGCAGAATGTATATTAATTATTTATATCAACGAGAACTTAATGATTACACTCGTCATTTTAACATGTTGGTATTTTACTTTTTTTAAATTCTCTCTCGTACTTGTTATTCGTTGGTGATCTGAGTGATTTGTGAAAAAAAAAGCATTGCGTTTTTCCTTGTCATTATCAGAAATTCAGTGCCTGAAGTTTACTGCCACTTGTGAATAATGGCATAGCCAAACAAGTCTCCTCGTTTCCAGTAGCGGAAAGTGGAAATAGTAAATGAAATCATCTTTGCTTTTGTTGTTTTGATTGCTTAGTTTTATTCACTTTCTAAACGTTCCACTGAGAGAATTTTCATAGTTTGTACCTGAGATGGAGAACTCTGTATGTATGAAAGTGTCCCTTCCAACACTGCAGAAAGTTTCTAAAGTGTATTAAAGTAGGTTGAATATTATTGACCACTGTGTTTTGTAACGCAATTGGGTATTCAGTAAAGTATGATTTACTCTGAACAGTTTAGAATTCATTGCTACTTAGTATTTAGTAATAGTATCAGCATCTTTACCATCAAGACGTTCCCTTAGATCTCAGTGTTCTGTGCCTCTGCTTCATAGAGGAAGATCCTTTTAACACAGACCCTCAATTAGCTGATCGTAGTCGAGTTAACGATGCCTTAATAAAAAATGTGTTTTTTTTCCTGGATCTCATGCTTGAACCTCCCTTGTAGACGATCTGGTCAGCTGTCAGAAACGTAATTCCAGGGCGAATTGGCTGATAGTCATCTTCATCAATACTCGTGCATTGTTCCTTGACTGATTAAAGGAGCTTTGATGCAGGTAGGTTGGCTGTTAGAGCAAGGGTTTCAGCGGAGTCAAGGTCAACTGGGTGTTTGAAGCCCTTTCGATCAAACCGTCTGCCATGCCTCTGGTTTCACCCAGTTGTCGGAGAAAATCGTTCCCGACAGTGACAGCTAAGAATGGGGAAATTGAATCACCTTGAAGTAAAACTGCTTTCGTTTGTACTTTCGTAGAGAAGAGGGGTCGGTAAAAGATCCTTGATGCGATCGATATTGGGGAGATTATCATTGGTCAATCGTGTAATTCTTAGGCAAAAGCAAATAATTTATCCCGGTTGTAGGGAGAAAGCAGGTGGGTTGTTTCCCCTAGAGGTTTCATTTCAGAATTCAAGTTGTTACCTTTAAAAGAGATGTTTATTTGGTTTTCCATGTTTTTCCCTTTATATGCTTGCAGGAATGTAGTTTGGACAAGGTTCTTGCATTTCTGATCTTTTAAAAGGCCAGCCAGAGTATCTACACGTGATCTGAAATGACACGGATTTGTCCTTGCGAGTGAACCCCTTGCTCGGATGAAGGACTAACGCTTGAAATTGACGTTAGCTTTAGAAAGTGTTTACGGTAGCCAATCGACATTATCAACTTGGGTGGTAAAAAACAAAATTTTCTTTTAATACATCCCACCGACGTAGCACAAAGTTTCTTTAGAAACCTACCTCCTTTTCGATAACTAAGGGCTGATCAAACTAGTTCACCACATTACTTTAAGCCTCTTACTGACTTGTTTTATGACATTTCTGCATGAATTTCTCGGGCTGTGTAGGTCCGCTCTTGGAATCCCCCCATGATAGAGCTTTGCATAACCATGAATCATTATGAAATGACTAAGTGCATTGGTAGATAGGCGGCGGAGCAGGGGGGGATGGGTGAGCGCTCCCACCCCCCTTTCCCCACACGTTTTGGTGCCGAACATATCACTAGAGCGGCATAAAAATGGCAAAATATTCAATAGCGTGATCTTTTCAAAAATTCTTTCATTGGTGACATCGCACTTGGCGTAATAACGTGTTGTTAAACTATTTTTGGAATAGCTACGGCCTGTGCTCGAGAAGGTTATCAATTGCAGCAATTCTCCATCCAACGAGACAGCGTGTCGATTGGAAATTAGACATGATTTTGAACTAAATCAAATGTTGAGCTGAAAGATTTTAGACTACTGAAAAAGATGAATGTTATTCAAAGAGACCAAGAATGTAAATTTTGGATGAGTTTGCAATAGGTCTAAATTACTTAAGGAATGTGCGAAAAATGGTCTTGCCTTTGAACTGACATAGACCGTGGCAGGCTTGAGCACCAGCTTCGCCTCCTACATGTTGCACTAAGAACTGCCCTGACCAGCTGACTGCCCGAAGTACGTCAGGTTAATATAAATACCATGTGCGAAGCTCCTGCCGCCAAAACACTGTTAGGACTGGGTGAGAGGTCCACAAACTCTTACGGATGTGTTTGACATTACCTGATGCTGGCATCAGCGACTTTACAGCGCACATTTTCTGTAAACACTGTAAAGATTGTAAAGAGGTTTTCTTGTGCAAATGAACAACTCAAAGGGCATTTTGGAAAAAAAATTGAGTAGGGTATGCGCATGGCTGGTTGAAAGATAAGCCCCACGATTCGTAAACGCTCCGCCGCCTTTGTGGTATCCATTTACCTTACATCTTTCATTTTGATAGGTTCTCTTGGTTTACAGCTGTTTCGAGATCGAAAGGTTATAGAACACAAAGTGAAAACCTACAAGACGATGCCGTAAGGTGTTGTGGTGTTTTAGCCAACTGTGAGGGTAGTCTTTACATATAAGTATACATACAGTGTATCTCCTCGTTCTGTGACGTAAAATTAACGAGAACTTCCGTTGTCGGTGGGTATGTCTGATAGGTCTCTCAGGTAATTACGTAAACATAGTTCATTCAAAGCATATGTTTGTGACCTGCCCATTCTGCAGAACTTTGAGGTTAAGTCTAAGAGATGTCAAGGCCAGCATGACTGTATATAACAGTGCTTTATTGCATCCATAAGGCTACATGGCAATAACTGGTACTAATTAAGATTTTCCATGCGGAAAAAGTACTAGTATGATACACATACACTAGTTTGTGTATTGGAATAGTTCGTTTTGCAATGATTTGCAACTAATAAACCACCGTCTATTCATCATCACCGTCATCCTCATCGTCACCGTCATCCTCATCATCACCGTCATCCTCATCATCACCGTCATTCTCGTCATCACCATCATCACTATCGTCGCTATCATCCTCATCATCCTCATCATCCTCATCATCCTCATCATCCTCATCATCTTCATCATCTTCATCGTCCTCGTCGTTCTCGTCAACACTATCATCATCAAGATCATCATCGCTACTGTCATCTGCGGCGGCTGAATCATCTTCTTTTGTGTCAGCGGCAGCATCAGTGCTAGCTTCCTCTGCTGCGGGCTCAGTCTCACTCTGGGCTGGATCATTTTCAGCTTCAGATGGTTCAGCTACGGCTGGATCAGTGGCATTGGCACTTTCTGGAACGTAGTTACGAGCCTTATCTTCATGGGTATCTAATAGCATGATATTTTAGGTATAAGATCCATAATGCTCTACAAACCACTGAAAATACTCGACAAAAATACAGCTGGGATATTGTGCTCGTCAACAAAGTGCGTACCATAGGGCATAGCTGTATCACAAGTTGAGTGTTTCTTTTTCAGAATCGATTAGAAACGGAACTTAACGAAACCTTACGAAACTGTTATCTTAAAGTTTATACCAGATCGTTCATTTCACTCGCATATGAACTGCTAACTTACCAGTTGGCATGGACTGTACAGCAGCGAAAACGGCAATCAAAGCCAATGCAATCAGGAAGTTCCTCATTTCGTAGCTGGTAAATTTCTAGATGAATCTAACAGAGGAACATTAAGTTAATATGATGGCAATGCTGAGTAAAAAGGAACCAAACTAACAAAAGAACAAACAGAACTTCCTGACTAGTAAAATCAAGGTTTCTCTGTTCCAAGCGTCCAGTTGGTGGAAAGAAGCGCGATAGTAAACGGTGAGGTGGTAGAAGAGGAGTGAAAAAACGAGGGAGGTTGGGTCGAATCGCTTAACGACCCTTACCTCGCATTTTCTTTTTGTGCGCGGCCGCTTCCTTCACGTGTTTGCTATTTTGCTTACTTTTCTTACTGAACTCCTTGAAAAGGCTTAAATCGAGAAGCAACTGTTTATGGTGTTCTTCCAAAAATGTAAGTGCCAATAATACTATGTGCACAATTATAAAGTGGGAAGGCTGTTTTTCCAGTCGGACTGGAAAAACTGGCTCGAGATCATGACCTACTTAGTCAATAGGTATTTGTTTATGCAAACACTAAGTCTTGCAAATTTTGAAATAATGTTAGAACCTGTATAAAACACATTTACATGTAAACCATAAGCGCGCGTTGAGGGCTACAAAACTATTTTATCATAAAAACTCTTTATTTCATTCGTGTCAGGAAAGAGACTGGCAATTCATCGAAAACTGTGACTCATTTTCTCATTTCTGTTATATTTTATGCTTAACTCTGCCATGAGCATTTGCGTTCTCTGCAATGAAGCCCTGTTAAAACAGACCCGGACGGACCGAACTGGCCACGTGATAAATGCGGGATGTTTTGTATACCTGGCCAAACCAATATTTGAAGTAATGAGCACTGAAGCGTGAAGGAATGTAAAAGAAAAACTTAGGCATAAGCAGAAAAGAAAGTTAGTGTTACACATTTTTTAAAACTTGTCTTTTCAATTTAGAAAGGTAGACCGAAGAGACCGTAGGTTAGCGTTGTGAGGAGTCATGGTGGTTAATAAGACCTGATATGTGGACGTTAGTCGCTTAAAACTGAGCCGGTATCTGGCAAGGTCTTATTCTGTCAACACTTTTTTTACTTAATGTTATTCAATTCCAGCTTATGAGAAATTCAAACAACCAGAAATCATATGAAAGATTGAGTGACAAAATGTCAAAACAAAGCGAAAGAAAGATATTGAAATTTTAACGATTTTAATCGACTGGGGAACTGTTCTTTTGAAACTTATTTTTACCTTTCCTTTAATGTAAAAGTACAAAAAGTAATAAGATTTTTTAACGTCTTAATTAACCCCACTTTTAGATGTACCACTGTTTTGCCCCTCATAATTTGTTATATCGATGACCTCATAGTTAATCGGTTCACGTTTCAACCTAAGACTTGGGCCGGTTACAAACCCCCTCTCCCAACTTGGTTCCCTTTTTTTGTAAGTTTAACCGTTCTGAACTCGGCCACTAGAATGGAAAACAACGTCCACTTCTAGCAAGAAACTTGATGTTCATTATCTTCTTAACAGTATCTTAAACGCAATGTCGTAATGACTGATCAAACTGATAAAGTGTTACTAATGAATACATGATAAATGTTTTTAGACGTTAAGCGACTCAGTATCATCTGGCACAGTTATGTGCTGCAACACCAAAACAGTTACAGAAAATTTTAATTGAACCATTGAATCGTCGTTTGGAATATATTACAAATGAACCTCTAGTTAAACTTTGCTTAACTGCCTTATGTGAAGCTATTATATCACCCGAACTTTGTACTCGCTTCTACGATGAAATCCCCACTCGCTTGATTAAAATATCAACGCCACTGAAAGCCAGGTCAGAGCCAGTATTAAAATAACAGAAGACAATTTATGAATAAATGTGATTAAAATTAGGTAAAAAAAGGTTTGTATAATGTATACACGAAAGTTAAGGATTTACCTTCTCCCGCAAAAGTTGCACCTTGCACTTGGTCTTCAATTCTTCGAATGGTGTTGGACTCACAGACAGACGCCTTTTGTTCCAGTTTATTGTTGTATATAATGATGTAAGATTAAATGGTCGAATGGCCTTTATTCTAAAATATATATGGTTATTTTATTCCCCGCTGCCAATAACTAAACTCAAAATAAACATTTTTTTTGATACCCTGAAAGAGAAGTTCAAATGTCGATGCAGCTTGGCATTCCGTTTTTCAACATGACAACAAGTTTCTTATCCCCAGAAACGATGTAAGATTTTCGACATAATTTTCACCTGCCTGCATCAAGGGTTTGTTAAAGCACCCCTGAACAGATTTTCATCTCTCAATAATTGTTATTTTGTTTCAGTTTTGAGAGCAGGTTAAGACAAGTGATAGGAGTTTAAACAAAAGAGGTGCAGTTGATAATAAGGTTCGTTGATGTGGAAATGGCTTACTACATGTTTAAAACTTGAACAACCTATTAAGACGTCTTTAATGTTCCTGAAAAGCTATCTATAATAAATCCTCTCTTGCAGTCCAAAGGAATTGACAAGAATCAATCTATGCAGTAAAAGTTGGTAGAAGTTAAATTTTTAATAAATAACTTCTTTTGATAAAGAGGAATTGTTTAACTAACACCAGTGTTTATCAATGCCACCAAGCGAATTCATTTATGGTAGCCAATCGAATTTGGCCAACTCTCTATTACCGTTGCAAAACCAAGATGAGATATGAAGAAATAGCCAAACACTACCGGTGGTTTGGTGAACTGTGTCAAGGACCAAAACAGTGAATTATAAACATAAATCAACTTTTGAAGCTCAAAAATTGGCCTCATAGAAATAATTTAAACGAAAGTCAGTGACAAATTAAAATTGATATTTAACGGCCGGGGACTGATTGCTCTGTCCCTGGCTAGAATAGCAAACGGACTCCTCGCCATATATGGGTAAAACTTTACGTCTAATTTAGGTTTCGTTCATTCAATCATAGGTCGTTAGTCTTTCTTTGAAAATAAATCAGTTTTTCAACTGCAGCCCTCTAGTTTCGAACTTGACCTACTGAACTCAAGCTAAGTAGGGATTAGGTTAGAGGAAAGGACATCCACTATATATCTTTTTCTTGGTGTTTGTTACATTTGCATCAAGACGAACAAACTGTTTCATTTAACGTTACAATTAGTCATTATTTTCATTCTTCTGGGTTCGTTTATGACAACATAGTTCCAAGAAAAAGAGGAGGTCAGTGATTTCCTGAATCCGAGACCCGCATGGATGGAGAATAATTTTGGCAAAGGTATTATTCTGTTATCTATAAGGAGTGTAAGAACGTTCAGGTGTTATTAAAGATAAATAAATCACCATTTTCGGAGCCTTTTTTAATGAAGATTGTATCAGAGACCCTCAGAAGGAATTTTGAACGTTCAACGCATGGAATCCCTGGGAGACTTTTCGCATCCAAGAAAATCTGAACAAAGGCCATTGATGAAAACAGAGAAGCTGCCGAAGACGCTAGGAAGACCTATCAAATCATACAAAATATTTGATAACTTTTCAGTATTAAAACATCAGAGTACTGTTGCTGTACTGCGAGACAAAATGAAAATAAGAAATGCACGGTGGAATGAAAATCCATTGGGGAACACTATGCCATTTTTTTTTCTAGTAACCCTTCGTGATGCTAATATATTAATGAGCTTCCGAAACCTTCATGGTGATAATTATTCGTTTTCGTCACAGCAAACATTTCAAATAAAATTATCGTATCTTTGTTACGCTATCACTTTCTTTGACTAGCTTCATCCTTAAGAACCAAATCAAAAATCCCAGCGAATAGCCGTTTGATTCCTTGAATGAAGAACTGAAGACCGATGCACGGACCAGTCGAAAGCAATACCTCAAGGTCATGTTTGTACTGGTGACCCCGACTCATATTTGATAAATGAAGATTAGAGGTTTCGACACGCGGTCCAGTTTTTTTTTTTTTTTTTATTTGTTACGGCCTAACGGACAGTTTTCTCAAACTATCGAAAAGCCAGTCGTTGAACGAAATTTGAGGAAAGGGAAATTCATTCCGGAGCTACTTAACAATCCGTCATTAGCGGGGTCAATCGCGTGTGATATCAAAATCCGTGTTCAAATATTATGATAGAATGACCATTCACGAAACTGAAACTTAAATGTCATTTTTCATCACTGCTAAATGAGTCGAGCCTTCTATGGAGAGCTGTACAGCAGGCTCTATGAGTACGTCCATACAGGTCAGTAGCAATTACTCACTTTATCGGGTGCATTCCATGAGCTTCAAGTAGAGACTTTCGCGGGCTAAATGTGTTTTAGCCCGTTTGCACACTATTTACCCGTTTGGCGTAGTTGTTCAGACTGTTTTAATGTTATTCTTTTCAGTGTTTATTTTCTCCATACCGTCTAAAGTGAAGATAATTGTGATACAATCTATGCTCTTGAGCATCTATATGTTTGGACCCTTAGCAGAGTAATTTTAACCCTCGCCTCAGTAGCAGGTCATATATGCTACATTGACTCTGAATCGGGCCGGAAATATATTTATACCCGCAGACATAAACTCTGTTGTTTATTAGCCCCAATACACTTTCGAAAAGCTTGAGAAAACGTTATAAAAAATACAGATTTCAACGGCGAAAAGCAAAAAGGGGAGATTTTTTCTGAGAAGAATGGAACTGTATCTTCAGGTCAACAGATATAAAAAAATTAAACCGAATCATTAAGTTTACAAGTTGACCTGGACTGAAATCGAGGAGGGAAAAGAATGGGACACTGAGTGAATAGCAATTACAGTGTAAAAAGAGACAATCAGTGCCCTGTGATATGATATATTTGATGGGTAAATTAAGGTGCTGGTACAGTTTACAACCAAAAATGAATAACTTTAAAATCCGTTATCCTTTCAAAGTCGACAGTGACACCATCATGCCTGACTGGCTCGTATCTTTTGATTATATATGGTACCAGAATGATTACATATACAGTAAGCTGAAGGTATGATCTTGCTTTTACGGTCATACTTAGTCTTAAGCAAATCCTGCGCAACCCGTTATTAACTTAGGCAATATAAGGCTGCCATCGCAACACATATATGTCATCGTGTTATACATCAGTGATCCACAACATTGTACGCCAGGAGCTCTTGGATATATAAAACCCTCGCAACAAAGCTGGGTAAGTGTATTGTAGGAAAAGATGACTTGACCCTGACTGGCACAACAGGCTGAGTAAGGTGAGACTTTAGGGACAACATGATTTTCGCAGCACAATTGATTTTGAACATCATATGCAGTACTTCCGCAGCAAGCTGAGAAATTTCCCACCTTGGGAACAGGACGACCCTCACAGCAGAGCTGAGTATCGATATCATATGCTTGCGAGCCGCAGCAAACTGAATTAATCCCTGGTTTCATGACTACATAGCTATCACAACATATTTGGGTAGCCATATTGTATATGTCACTCCCACAACAGGCTGATTGGACTCCAACCATTGGTAATGGGGTAGTATCACAACATAATGTGTTATTTGCATCATATGGATAACTTCTACAGCAGGCTGGTAGCTGGAGTCCAATCTTTGAATGTGGGTTGGCATCACAGCATATCTGGATTAATGGACTGAATACGCTGCTACCACAGCACATGCTAGCTTGGCCTGGTATGATGGGGACTATATTATCATCACAACACAAGGCAAAACCTGGATAGTAATATTGGTTTCCGCATATTGCCATTTGCCGGCGAAATCTTGACACTCCTTTGTTTGGTCCTGTTCACGACAAAGATTAAAGCAATATCAGTACACACTTTAAATTATTTTTTAAATTCTTATATTTGAATGGCTTGAATTGTCTTTGACGGTCTTTTTCTCTAACATTTAGCCCGCTTTCACATATTTTTTTCCGAGACTAGAAATGCTTTTTCATTTCTGTTTTCAAGGGATCTGGCCTCAGGCTTTCTTTCTCTTAGTCTAGCAGCATGGCCATAGTATCACTTTTATGGCAACAAATCAAATGAGCGAGCACTGAAATGTACTGCACAGTCCGAAGTTATAGATTTCCTTCTTTTTAACCCATTTTTGCATTTTGCATTTGTAAGGTCGGAACTTTCACTATGAATCACTGTTGACGCTTTCTTAACAGGAGTCCTTTACTCTCTTTTTTTCTCTTTCTCTTCGTGTCTTTATGCGTCTTTATCCGTCTGTCTCTTTATCTCGTCTTTCTCCCTCTCTTTCTCGCTTTCTTTAATGTGTTTTGCTTTACCAAAGATTGAACCGAAATACTGCTTATTTTTACAGGTGGTGTTTGTTTACTCAGTGTTAAATATCGACAGAACAAATCAAAGCTTTTTGGCTTAATGATTTTAATTCTTTCGTAATAAAAGGAGTCCCACTAATGAACGTTGAGTCATGCAGTGATCCATTTGCAGACCGATCCCTTTTTCTTGCTAGGATTGAAGATTTTGTCTAATGTATCTGTATGCTTATTAGCAGAAAAGGCGTCGAGACAAAGACTGAGTTGAAAAAAATTACACAGGAGAAAGTGCAGCCGCGAAATGACGAAGAAAGGACGACACGCACATAGCCTGTTAGCAGAAACAAATGAAATTCTTGTCAAAAAGAGAGATCCCATCGGGAAAACTGTCTTTTGGATCTTGCTGTGAATCTATATTGCCACGGATGTACAGTATTTATACCCGTATTGACAAAGATGATACATGAACTGTTTTTCAGTAACTCGAAGATAACTCGTTACTTAGTAGCCTTAATACCTACCCATTCTTTGTTCATTTCTTTCTTGCAAGGCGTGGTCTTTTTTGAAGGATGCGCCTTCGGTGAGAGTTACCAACAGGACTGTGCAGAGACAAGTCGCTATAACATACCACATCTCTAACGTCGTACTTTTACAGATAAGCTATTCTTGCTCTCTCTTGTCTGCTCTAGAAGACAGCCGCTTCTGGTTTTCGCTGCACTTGAAGGGCGTTTTTAAACTCTCGATACTAACAAGAATGTTTTCAATATAGTTAATGTCTTGTGACAGTATCAGGAATGTATTCAAGTCAGTTATACCGTCAGCTTTTCAATAAGTAACAATTGATATCGACTTCGAAAGTCTACAACAATGAGTTTTCAAAGAAACATTTTAAAAACTCGGTGAGAGTAAGTAAATTAAAAAAATATGTACATTAACAAGGGCTAGTTGAGTTCAGTTGGTGATAATTTTTTTTTTTAGCCGTGTTATGCGAAAGTCTCATATTTTAAGTCATCACAAAAATATTTCGCTCGAATCATTTTTAGGTCATACGTATTACAATACCACGCATTAAACATAGCAATGTCCACATATCTGGACACATATCTGGTGCAATAGTGTGCGAGCATAGCAACCCTGAAATTTACTCCAAGCAGTCAACAACACCTTACTGACCTTTGCTAGACCGACGTATCTCATAGGTCCAAATTTCCAACTTATAAGTTCTACTTGAAAGGAAAATGCATTCTTTCAAATCACACTCTCCGTTTCAAAAACGGACACACGAGCCCTACGTGATCCAGTGCACACAACGGTATTTTGAACAATCAGGTTTTATTGTGATCCAGTTTACAGTTCGTTACGCAAGTTGATGGTTTACTCAATAATCATTTGACAGAGTGAAAAAACGCTCATTGGAAGCCCGCTGGTTAAGCTAATGGCCAATGAGAAGGAAAATTAAATAGAACAAAACTTTCCTTAGATAATGATTCATTTGCAATGAATATATGAAGTTCATATATTTCATACGTTCATACGTATAATGATTCATTGTTTGGTTACAATGAATATATGAAGTTCATATATTTTGAACTGCGGTATTAAATACGTATGATGCACGATCCTTCGCAGTAGATAGCGCTATTTAAGCAATAGCGAAAATCAGACCTGAAAAAAAGTCAGGCCTGTACGGGATTCGAACCACTGACCTCTGCGATACTAGTGCAGCGCTCTACCAATTAAGCTAACAAGCCAACTGGGAGCAGCTGCTACTGCGAAGGATCATGCATCATACGGATTCATTGTTTGTTTGCTTGTTCAAATATTGCATCGTAAGTAAATGACTCGAGTAGAATGACTTCAATATAAGTTTATTCGGCTGAATTTAGAACTGGCGGAAGGTCTTTTTCGACTTTTCTAATTTGCCTTTCCCTTTTTTACTGAAATATTTTTGGGTTGGTATCTGACGCTTTCGAAAATCAGTTTTGTAAGGCTTTTACCTTATGTCTTCCATACAGTTAAAAAAAAAGAGGAGATTAGAAGATTAGAGGGACAACTCTTCCGTCGGTTGGATAAAAAGACTGAAATTCTTTGAAATTAATGATATTTGTGAATATTGATATGGAGATTTGCTGTCAGGTAACCTGCGGGGGCGCCAAACATAACTGTTACACTCTGAAAACAAAAAACCTTGAATAAATAGGTTGTAACTATATTATCAATAAAGATTTGGAAATGCAAAGACTGGCAAAAACCATCGATAAAAACTGACGTTTCGGTGTCATCATAACGCCATTGTCAAGGAGAAAATAAAAATTACAAAGTTTGTGGCAAGGTGTAACACTAAATTAGCATAAATATGTTAGGAGCTAATTATACAAATACTTTTGCGCGAATTGAATCGCTTTGCACGTTCAGAGTGGGTTTTACGTCTCTGATGAAAAGCATTTCGTTCACCAAACAATCGAACTTGTTACTACACTTTTTCAGAATGCTAAAACGTTTCAGTAGGTCTTTCGGGACTTCGCTGTGCCGTTCGTGGTAGTGTTTTATACATTGAAGATGCCTTTCGTTTATGTCCATTCACGCGTGTGTGTAAGTGTCCGCGTGTATAGCCCACATAACCCGCATCACACAGGTCACATTGACATTGATAAACGACGCGTTGTTGGTTGACGATCTGTGGCTTGATTTCTCGTACTTTAAGATCTTGGCCAACTTTGCGGCTAACAAATACTGGCTGGACAGTTTTCTGCACCATTTATTTGATGTCTTTTAAGAGGCTGCAATACAGACAATATCATATATCATCATTTCGGATCTTTTAGTTGGATATTTCACGCAAGGGCTCAAATATCAAAAAAAAATTATATCAAATCACCAAATTGCGACAAAAATTCTTCGCAGAATTTATTAGCTCAGCCAGGCTTATTCTTCTAATTCTACCTGATCTTAGTCATTTTTTTCTTGTTTTAACCCAGAGCACATTTTATCATTTCTCCAAAAACAAACTGTCATACTCTTGGTAAGGTTGCAAAATCATACGAGTCTTGTTTTCACAGTGTTGAGGGTAACCAAAGCATTTCAAAACCTGATCGGCATCTCAGTGATATTATATATTTACATATGAAGATGTTATCAAATGCTAGATCTTCAGTCAATAATAACTTTATGAGAATAAAAAGAAAGAATGAAAAAACTTGACCTGTGAGTAAATCCGATATCCCTGACTTGGAGATGTATAAGAATTCTCTCATTAACTTTTGTTGCTAAGGTGATTTATAGAATGAGTGTAATCCAACAAAATCTCAGCACTCTTGTCGTGTCTTGACGGGGACTAATAAGCGATCATTTCTTTGGGGACATTTGCTGATATTCTAGAATGAAATTCTTGCTTGATTAATTTGATTAAAGACTGCTACAAGTTATTGGAGCCAATACGCATGAACATTTGCCGAGGCACGCGTTGCCGCACAACTTAAAAGTGATACCTAATCATCGATCCAAATAGGATACTGAGCAGGCGGCGCCGAAATAAAGCACACTAATAGTACAAATGGGCCACGATGTTAATATGGACATGAATTTTGTTTATAAACATTCCATTTCTTTCTGGAGGAAACCATCGTATTGGAACTTTTCTACAATCTTCGGTCAAGATCAAGAAACCGGTCTGATCTTATCCTCGTGCAATATCTATTTTCATTCTAACAACAAACATATGAAATACATATATATGAACTGCGGTTATGAAACGTATATGTGCACGATCCTTCGCAGTAAAGCACTATTTAAGCAATAGTGAAAATCAGACCTGAAAAAAATTCAGGCCTGTACGGGATTCGAACCACTGACCTCTGCGATACTAGTGCAGCGCTCTACCAATTGAGCTAACAAGCCAACTGGGAGCAGGCCATCAAATTAATTCGACATAAACCCGTAGATGATAAATCAAACAACAAACATATGAAATACATATATATGAACTGCGGTTATGAAACGTATATGTGCACGATCCTTCGCAGTAAAGCACTATTTAAGCAATAGTGAAAATCAGACCTGAAAAAAATTCAGGCCTGTACGGGATTCGAACCACTGACCTTTGCGATACTAGTGCAGCGCTCTACCAATTGAGCTAACAAGCCAACTGGGAGCAGGCCATCAAATTAATTCGACATAAACCCGTAGATGATAAATCAAACAACAAACATATGAAATACATATATATGAACTGCGGTTATGAAACGTATATGTGCACGATCCTTCGCAGTAAAGCACTATTTAAGCAATAGTGAAAATCAGACCTGAAAAAAATTCAGGCCTGTACGGGATTCGAACCACTGACCTCTGCGATACTAGTGCAGCGCTCTACCAATTGAGCTAACAAGCCAACTGGGAGCAGGCCATCAAATTAATTCGACATAAACCCGTAGATGATAAATNCCTTCAATTGAAACTTTGACGTCTAAAAAGGATAAAGAATTGTCAGAAATTTCCCAAGTATATTTCAGAGCCGGGTGAAAAGAATTGACTGCAGTTATGAATTGAGTGAGCTCCTCTCTGGTAGAGGAGGTAGCGCCGATACAGTCGTCGATGTAGCGACCGTAGAGTTCAGGTTTGGACCCGTTGTATTGGCTGAAAAATTGATGTTCGACAAAACCTACAAAAAGATTCGCATAGCTAGGTCCCATTTTGGTGCCCATGGCTACACCATTGGTTTGTTTGAAGAAGTTGTTTCCGAATGAAAAACAATTGAGTGTGAGCACTAGTTCGGCTAAGCGTAGTAGTGTTTCAGATTTAGGTTCCTTAACAGTACGTTGATCAAAAAAATGTTTAAGGGCCAGAAGGCCTTCGCCATTAGGAATGACAGTGTAAAGAGACGTAATGTCCATGGTGAAAAGGAGTTTGTTTTCTGCCTTTAAAAGCACACACAACCCACAATTCCTCTATTCGCTCCGACGAAGGGCTAACGCTCGAAACGTCAGCTTTTGTAATCATTACGGTGGCCAATTTACCATTTCAACTTTGTTGATATATCCAAATTATTTCGTTACTCCCACCGACGCAGCCCCAACAGTTTCTTTCGAAACTATCAGCCTTTATTCTTCTTGTTGACTTTCTCTCGTGCTACAGCCATTAAACAATCTTTAAACTTTTGGATCTAAGTTCCACGAAGACCACCACCATTGCAATTGGCTCTTCGGGTTGGTTTTTCTATTCCTCGCAGTTACATCGTGAGACTCAACCAGGTCGAAACAGCGCTCTAAAACAGCATATCCGTTCGGACTTTATCAATCTGCTATCGAGACAAGTCTTTTACGGTGTTCTGAGTATGAAGTCTGCAGTCATAGTGGTCAATGTTCTGCTGTAATTTCGATCCGCGTCCACTTTTGTCCATTGCGTCACTCAAGTTATAAGAGAGTGGTTGAGTTCTGAAACTGGCGAGCGGGCTAAAAAAAGAAATTTTAAGCCCTTGATTTTATCGTCAATAATAAAATAACTTTATTCAGCTAACATGACACCTACAGACTGACAAACCCATGGCCCTCCCTAGATTACACAAGTGGATAAAGTTAACACGTAATCAATAAAAACTACAAGTCCTTTCCTATCCTTATAAATTCTATGATAAGTAGATGAATAAAAATACATAGAAAATAATAAATAAATAAAATGAAATAGTCGTAGCATTTGTGAAAAATGCTACGATAATGTAAAATGATCTATAGCCCTCCTCGATATATTTAATTTATTTTTGCTTGAAAACCTTACTTATTCGTATATACTGGTAGAGGATTCCATAATAGTGTGGATGTGTCAAGGATATAAGATACTTTTAATGACGAAATTTTTGGAAAATGATTTTTTGCATAATCTTAAGTGTTATGTGTAATCTGTCGAAATTCACCACTTTAGTAGATAAAAACAAAATCTAATTTAATGAACAAAGCCTAAGGAGAACATCCTCTTACCTAGCAAGCCTAGCTTCTCGAACGACACATCTGGCACATGCAACCTATCACTAAAAAGCTCTCAAAGTTTGGGCTTCAAATTTAATTTGTAACAATCATTATGTGCCTCTTACTTTTCTGGTCAGCTTAGGCCGCAAACCGAAATATCGGGCTGATACAAATGAATGAGATACGCGATGCAAATGCTTTTTAGCTATACCCAGCTAAGCCAACCTCCGCCACTAGAATCACTCCTATTGAATGGTCAATGGCATGTATTTCAAATTTTCCAGAAAGTTTGAAGCTTACGTCATTAAATTTATGATAGTCCGGCTCTTTTTGGATTTGGTGCTGAGAAATTTATCGTTTGAATGTTTTCTTCCAATTAACAAGAAATTTTCAGCAACCTAGGGAGTACTTTAAGATAGAGTGGCATAGCTCTTTCCAACATATTACGAATCGAAGTCAAAAGGGTACAAGGCATCTCTGATCACTCTTAACGATACCTGATTTATCCAAAATTTTGATGATATATTACTGTAAGATATCTCACTTTCTTTAAAAGAAGAACGATATACGATTTCTTCGAGCGTTATCCCAAAACACTTAATGAATTTGTGTGCTGGGAGACCGATACATTTAGGACAGTCCCTCTTTCCCAGCTTATTTTGTCAAAGAAGAGTAAATTTAGCGTTCAGCTGAGATGACCCACAAAACACGTTCCTATGATGAAAATGAACGGTCATCGTTTGTTCGTTGAACCTCCTTTTAGATACTGGGCGTCATAGCTTTCACTGATTTCATTGTCTCAATATCCCAATTGCGAAGGTATCTTCGGTAGAGAACTGTGTGCAAGTGATTCGGTCTGATAACATAGATAGGTAAGGGAGGCAAATTAAGGTTTGCCTCTGGTCACCTGGTTCATGAAAGCCACCAATAAGGCTCATCTAGAAAGTTCATAAACTGAACGACAAGTGCTGCAGCCTTAAACTACCCAATAGTTTTCTTAAAAAATTTAGTGGGCGTAAGGTTAGTGGAAAGCTGCGAAATCTGCGAAATAAGTTCAGTGAAAAGGGTTCAATCGCAAACTGTCTCGTACCACAACTAACAATAGAAAATCACCTTTTCTGCATATATAAACTTAATTTCAGCCCACAAACTTATCACTGCTTCCACATTCCGTGATATTCCATGCTACCGTAGCTTAAGCGTTTGGCTCGAACCCTCTCCATAGTGCAGTATAAAAACTAGTGATTTTCTCTTTCATAATTAAATTGGATGTTTCAATCAGTTAGTGTAAATATCTTGACCAGCCCTTTGCCCTTTTCGTATTAGTACTTGATAGTCGGGCGACTCGGCTTTCGATTTCAAATTTATAGCATAATTGGTAAAAAATTTCATGTACGTCGTTTGTGATATATCATATCAGATATCCTCATACTTTCACCCCCAGAAGTGACCAAAAAGAAAAATTATCAATACATTTTTGTGCCCAAAGGTTATTAGAAGAAATAGAACATCAACGATTGCTTTTTTCCCTGTTTTTTTTCTCGCGTGAAGGGAAAGCAAACAAAACATGAAGTATGACGAGAAGGAGCTGGGAAGAGTCGACACCCCAGACACTCCCTGTACGTCTACGTCACACCCAATCTGTAATGTTCTCTGAAAAGTAAGTAAAACACAACAACAGACTCTTTTTACTAGAAATTAGAGCCAGTAAAATTAGCCCAGTAAAATTAGAGTGGGAGACGCGGTGCCTGAACTGTTGACATGCTGGACTCTAGGTTGAGAGGTCTGGGTTCGAGACCTGCCAGGTCATTTTCTTGTGTTATCAGGAGAGTTACCTAACTCTCACAGTGTGTAACAACAACAACAACAACAACAACAACAATAACTTTATTACCCCATAATTTAGGAATTACAGTCATTTTTAAAAATTGATTTGATACGCTTGTTTAAGGGTTATCAGCTCCCTGAAATAACTAAGTAGCTAAAAACACCAGAGAGCTGGTTTAAATAGTGTAAATTAAATATTTACAGCGGAGGTAAGACCTAAACTATCACATACACACACACACACACACACACACACACACACACATGCACGTACACACTTACAACATCAACATACCAAGATGATAATGATAATTACGGCAATAAAGAAATTAAGCTATGTGTAAAGTAATCTATGGAGGATGTATAATAATTGAAATAGCTATGTGTAGAAAGCAATATTTTAATTTAGTGTCATCAATATACTGAAAGATATTGTTGCTTTAGACTTAATTCAAATTTTGAAAGAGAACCACTTTTGACTTGTTCATTTATTGCATTCCATATCACGGGCGCCTGAAATCTTATATTAAATTTACCATAGTTAGTTCCTACTTTAGGGAGGTAATAAGACTGTTTTGCAGCAGATCTTGTATTATAATGATGAACTTCACTGACCTCAGTAAAAAAAAATTATTGAACGCAACAGGTAATAATCTATTCTTAAACCTATACATAAATATTGCAATCTGATATGATGCAAGATCATGTAGTACTCTTCTCTCAAGAGTATTCACGGGCACCAGCCAACTGCTGTCTGGGAAATCGGACTATATTTTAGGGGTATAACCTGAATTATAATCCATCAAACATTTTTGCTTGCACACGATTGGTCTAAAGAAATCTCGTGGAACTTGGCAATATCCGAGGGTATACCCCAAGTGATATACCCCAAATTTAAACCTTACGTCCACTACTACAAAAGTCTTTGTTTAAAATTTGTTTAAAGATGAGAGAATGTTTAGCTATTGTTACAGAAGAAGGAACATGTTTGTTCATTAAGTCCTCCCAGAGAACACTGGAAGAGTAAACATCCCACACAGCAAACTGGAATCTGTTCGTTAACATTTTTTCACGGGTTGCAAAAATATTTAAAGGATCCGAAACACAATAGCATCCATTTGGCGCGAAAATGTGCACGGATATTTGTCCGCAGAAATGATCTGTTCAGAGTCGAGAACAGCTCTCCGAGAACGAAGCTCGAGGAAAAAATGTGAGCTTTGAGGAACAGATAATGTACAAGGTCAAACATATGAGTAAATATTAGGTGAATCCTCGGTATTACACTACGTATCCTGTACTGCGCATAAAAATAACGTAATCTGGCGAATAAGTACGCGCTCATCCCGAGAACACGATACTGTTTTTCATTGAATGGACCAGGTAAAGAGAGTAGGAACATGCAAATTATGAACTTAGAACCAATGAATCGAGGAAGGTTTTGAGTCGATGTCGTTTAAAATTGCGTGATTTTGCAACATGTTGTAAAATGATATATACAGGTTGTACATGATATATCGAAGACATCAGCAGAGAGACTACTATGAAAGAAAGGTGAATTGAAGAAGAGTATTTTTCCCGAAACTTCGTGGACAACAACAAATCGCCACATGGTAAGTTTCATTTATTTTTATCTCCATTTTCAAGCAAATTTCCAGACCTAAACTTAGCCCCGTATGTTCTCTCTATTTAACCATGTGTACGTGACACAAACAGTGAACCTGGGTGACCTGTGGTGTAACGAAGGTCGGTCATCTTTCAGCAGGTTTACGATGGAAGAAGGCGACCCTGGGAACGAGGTTGTTAAAACAAGTAGCTCTGGGAACGAGGTTGTTAAAACAAGTAGCTCTGGGAACGAGAGCACTCTCATCGACGGCCATCTTCAATGCCGGGTTCTTATGAGGGTTGTAAGGAAGGACAAAGAAAAACGTGAACAGTTAGGATCCTTAGAGAGAGAGTAGAAACAGCTCATTTCACCAATGAAGCGTACGTGCTCTCCAGACTCGATAACGCCGCTAAATTACTCCATCGTAACCACGGAAGGTTTGGAAAGACCCGATTTCGTCAACGATTCACAAAGTTACATCTTGGGAGGTGTTCTAGGAGCTGGAAAGTTGGCTTGGCTAGCTCGTGGTGCTACTTTGGAAGTTATAAATACCTTGAATGGTGAGAGGCAAGCGTGCTGTCGATTTGGTTGGGGCCCCACACGGCAGCGATTTCTGTCCATTTCTTCCGTCAGCGAATTTCATATCGAAGACGGTACAAAGCTCCTGGTTGGGCTGAAGGATTTATCAAGTGGTGGTGCAGGAGTTTTGGTCATTTTTGATCCTTTGTTGTCGCGGGTGATTAAAGCCATTGAGGTTCCGTACCCTGTCACTGTAGTAGAAAGCGTTACCGGCTCTGGTGGAGCTCAAGCAGCTCCTCATGCTCTCAGGTTAGTCAAAAGCAGGATATAACACGTTGATCATTTTGAAAGTCGATAAAAGTCGATCGGTGTCGATTGAATTCGATACTTATCAATCCACAAATATCGGTAGAAGTTGATCCCCAAAATGTCTTGTAGTTATCGATTATCAACCCCAATGCTTTCCCTGTGTGGATGTTACCTGGCTATGGATTGTTCCTGCAGTTACAATTAAGCCTCATTTATCTGAATTTGTAAGGACTGGGCTGAATAGTCCGGATAATCAAGAGTCTGAATAATGAAAATTAGTGCACTGTACATACTAAAACAGTGGATAGCATTGAAGGCGCTCTCTGATTGGCTATTCTTTGCTATTCATCTTCGTGGAACTGGTATATGATTTGCTCCAAAAATGTTGTAATAATAGCAGAGGTAAGTAAGTTTAAATCATCTTTTTGTGCCATATTATCACAACAACCATTAACAACCATTCGCAGCTCAGTAAATATCAGCCACCAACCCCCCACTTTGATGAATAGTTGTTGTAGATGAATACATATCATCACAGGCAGTCCAAGCTCACTACTAGAAAAGCGGACGTGACTCTTACCGTGTTGTGCAATGTTTTATATTTATAAAGGTTTGTATGAGATGTTATTGGTTTGCCTTAAAAGAGAAAAAAAAATGTCTTGTTTTGAAATGAAATGGACTTACCTTATTGCCTTGTTGTTTTCTTTGCTGGCTCTTAGTGTCTCAGGCCATTTTGAAGTGTTTTCGGCGAGTTAGCGCTATGTTGGTGTTCAACGGCTAAAAGAAAGACAAGGCCGGAAACCTATTTTAGAATTGTCCGTCACGCAAAGCAAATAATTCCACCTAAAAATTACCACCAGTCTCAATTCCTTCAGAAAATCAAAGCAGAGATGTTTCAGTTCCATTTCTATTCACTTGATTCCCAATTCCTCCCACAGATCTTTCACTAGCTATGCTTTTGTCTCCAGATCGATCGGCTTTCCAATTTCAAGTTTGGCTCGTTGAAACAGTTGTGGGCCTGTTCACCGATCGCACAGTATGTCGGCTAACAAAAATAAGCCTGGCGAGGGTAGCCAGCGGCAATCAAACAAACCAGTTAGCTCCCCTGGTCCCCTCGAGAGGTTTTGTCAAGACCACATTGTTTAGATTAACCAATCAACATTGAATGGAACTGTGTTTACAAATTTAAATTACTCAGTGGAAACCCGAGATCGATCGCTATGTGCACGTTCCTGATTGTCAAGCAATGAACGAAACCTGCGGTGAAATATCCTTGCTTAACAATCTAAGTATGTTATCTTGTCATTTGTTTTATGAGGCTCTCTGTACACAGAAGTTTCACGTATTGAAAGTTGTGTTCAGACATTTGATATTTCGCGCTGTTTTTCTGGTTTACTGTAATGATTTCTGGGCGGTTTTCAGGGTTCAACTAAATGAAGATCAACAAAGGATTGTTGATTTTGCTGATGAAGGCCACAATCTGTTGATTACAGGACAAGCGGGAGTGGGGAAACCAGAATTAGAGGATGAGAACAACAATGACGATCGATCCTGTATTCACGGGTCTGTATTCAAGATCAAAGCAAAGATCAAAACAGCAATGACATCAAAGTAAAGTAAAATTTAAATTTGTAAACACATTTCCATTCAATGTTGATTGGTCGATCTAAACAATGCGGTCTTGACAAAACCTCTTGAGGGGACCAGGGGAGCTAACTGGTTTGTTTGTCAACTGCAGGCTGCTGGCTACCTCGCCAGGTTAATTTTTGTTACCCGACATACTGTGCAATCAGCGAATGGGCCCACAACTGTTTCAACGAGCCAATTTTGAAATTGGAAAGCGGATTGATCTGGAGATAAAAGCATTGCTAGTGAAAGATCTGTGGGAGGAATTGGGAATCGAGTGAATGGAAATGGAACTGTAACATCTCTGCTTTGATTTTCTGGAGGAATCAAGACTGGTGGTAATTTTTTGGCAGAATTATTCGCTTCGGGTGATGGACACTTCTAAAGTAGGTTTCCGGCCTTGTCTTTCTTTTAGCAGTTACACACCAACATAGCGCTAACTCACCGAAAATGCTTTAAAATGGCCTGAGACGCTAGGAATCAATAAAGAAAACAACAAGGCAATAAGGTAAGTCCATTTTATTTCAAAACAAGACATTTTTTCTCTCTTTTAAGGCAAACCGATAACATCCCATACAAACCTTTATAAATATAAAACATTGCCCAACACAGTAAGAGTCATGTCCGCTTTTCTAGTAGTGAGCTTGAGCTGCCTGTGGTATCATTCAATCAATATTACCCTTGAATGAAAGTAAATCAATTAAATGTACACCATTGACAAAATTTTCCTAAGTATTTACAAAACAATTCTCAAGACCAATATATGATCTTAAGTGCTGATGTAAATCTGTTTGTTTCAAGCTGCTCTATGTGTCTGCATTGATAAATTCTATCTTTCTTTGAAGCTTCATTTATAGACTAGCATCGTCATTGTTTCATTTCATTTGCTTTGTTTGATGGAAAAAAAGTTGTTACGGCTCTTGAATGTGACAGTGGAATGGGTCCAGAGAAGTGAGTCTCAATAGAACTGGCATGAAAAAATGCTGTACCAAGGGATCTGAATTTTTTATTGTTTTTCAAAGAAGTGTCTAACAACCTCTTTGAATATCCTGTGGCTGCCATCTTGAATGGTGCACAAACCACTCTGGGCTGATGACATGTAGTGGTTGCTTGGTGTGCTTGCAGTGTAGTGTTTCACTCTTGTTAATGTTGTATTGCTGTTGTTTGAAGAAATTTTTTAGTGAATATGACATATTTTCCCCATCAGTAGGAGCCATAAGTACTGCAAAGTGGTAGTGGACATTTTCAAAATTGAAATCTGATGCTTTTCAATATTCTTCATCTTCTACTTCACATTCCTATCTCTCTTTGCTTGAAGAGCACTCTGCCTCCAACAAGGAGTCAAAGTTATTGTTTTGGAACACATCATTTAAACTTGTTATAATTTCAGTCCCCAGTTAAGGCTGCTATTTGGTATTGCAGCTGTTGGTACTGAACAAGGGCACTGTTATTTAGTGGATCTTCGCCTTGATGACGAAGATGAACAGTTTGACGAGTGGCGCACAAGCCCTGTTGAAGTGATTGATCCTTTAGCATGTGATTTGGCTCAACTCAGAAACACTGCCAGGACCACTGAAACTCATTTAGGAATTGAAATGGGAGGTATGCCAGACTAGTTAGTTGATGTGTTTTAAAATCAGTTGCACACACATTATAGCCTTGAAGCATGTTGGTATGTTTCAAAGCTAGAGTTTATAAAAATGTTAAACTAGTTAATCAGCATTTCTTTCCTAATTAAGTGAGAGCACAACTAAATTAAATGGCTACTTCAAAAGAGATGTAGTACACTTCACATGGACAGAAACCACGTCTTCTGTCATCATTTATGACACTTTCTGTTGAAAGTCAAGCCACCTGTAAAATTTAATATGTACAAGACTATGGACTTGCTTTAGTAAACTGATTTACCTGTTGATAATGTGCTCCAAAATACAAGAAAAGGTATCTCTGTGACTTAAGAATTTCAAAATGTTGCAAGGGAGTATGCCCTGAACCCCCCTACACCTTGCCACTTGTAGGTGGCAAGGTCCTTTGGGTCTTGCCTTAAGTATGCTCAGGTGCTAAATCCATATGCCCTCCTGCTCTAAAGCTAAATGAAACTGCTGAATAGTGTCTGGTTTGTGTCTTTTGCATGTTGAAGGTGAGAAACGATTGCTGCCCATTATAGGAATGCCTTTCTGTACATTTTTGCCTATTCATCAGTACTACCATACTAACAGCTTTCATCAGCACTACAGTACTAACAGTACTAAACCTCTCGCAAGCAAGCATGAATACCTACTTACTAGCGTACTAAGTACAACTCTTGAACGAGCAGGAATACCTACTTACTAGCGTACTAACTACAGCTCTCGAGCGAGCAGGAATTCCTACATACTAGCGTACTAAGTAAACCACTCGAGCAAGCATGAATACCCACGTACTAGCGCACTAACTAAACCTCTTGAGCAAGCATGAATACCTACGTACTAGCGTACTAACTACAGCTCTAGAGCAAGCAGGAATACCTTTGTACTAGCGTACTAAGTAAACCTCTCGAGCAAGCATGAATACCTACGTACTAGCGTACTAACTAAACCTCTCGAGCAAGCATGAATACCTACGTACTAGCGTACTAATGTACTAACTACAACTCTCATTCTTTTCATGCATACCATGAAATTGAACATTTGATGTAGTCTATGAAAAAAGTAGTATATTGATAACCATTGGTGTTTGTGGTTTTGTGGTGTGGACCTTATTTTTAATACGGTAATGTAGTGGAGAATAACTCGCAGTGCGTTTTTTTGGTGGATTTTTTGGTTTTTCTGATGGTTTTCGTTGAAATAAAGCATTTATGAATTGCAGTTTTTTCTTTAACCCTTTTAGAAACTATATTTTGGTAAAACAAAGTAAGCAATAAATCCTAATGAATCTTTAATAAACATTGGCTAGCATTTTACTTGACCTCCGGACCTCTACCACACGCTCGATCGGCCAAACCAGACCATTTAAATCATGCAACTTGATGTATATTGTGATGTCGGTCCTTTGAGAATATTTTTTGGTTGCTGAGGTGCTAGTTCTCTTTTGTTTGCGGTGTTGCATACTCAGAACCTTCCATGACTCCCTCTTATTTACTGGTTGCCAATTCAATAGTAGAAAAAAAATATTCTTCTAATCCAGAGCCTTCTCATTCCTGTTTTGAAGTAGTAAATACCCTATAGTAATCAATGGCTTTGTTTGTTTGTTTTTTTTTTGAAGGTAACATGAGGCCAGAATTACTATTTTGGCCTATATTTCGCTTTGAATGGAAAAATAGTCAGTACGTTAGTACCTTAGTACTCGGTACGGACAACCCATCATGGCTTGTTCTGAATTTGCTTAGTACGTTAGTACCTTAGTACTCGGTACGGAAAACTCATCAAGGCCTGTTCTGAATTTGCTTAGTACGTTAGTACCTTAGTAATCGGTATGGAAAACTCAACACGGCTTGTTCTGAATTTGCTTAGTACGTTAGTACCTTAGTACTCGGTACGCACAACTCATCACGGCTTGTTCTGAATTTGCTTAGTACGTTAGTACCTTAGTACTCTGTACGGACAACTCATCACAGCTTGATCTGAATTTGCTTAGTACGTTAGTAAGTTAGTACCTTAGTACTCGGTATAGAAAACTCATCACGACTTGTTCTGAATTTGCTTACTACGTTAGTACCTTAGTAATCGGTATGGACAACTCATCACGGCTTGTTCTGAATTTGCTTAGTACGTTAGTACCTTAGTACTCTGTGCAGACAACTCATCATGGCTTGTTCTGAATTTGCTTAGTATGTCGGTAAGTTAGTACCTTAGTACTCGGTACAGAAAACTCATCATGGCTTGTTCTGAATTTGCTTACTACGTTAGTGCGTTAGTACCTTCGCACTCTGTATGGACAACTCATCACGGCTTGTTCTGAATTTGCTTACTACGTTAGTACCTTAGTACTCGGTACGGACAACTCATCATGGCTTGTTCTGAATTTGTTTAGTACATTAGTACCTTAGTACTCGGTACAGACAACTCATCACGGCTTTGGAAGGTTTATTACTCAGCCGTAAGACCTATTTGTTTTATCTTCTTTTTCAACCGATTATTTCCGAAATTTATAATTCCTTTGCATAGATGTAGATAAACAAATAAAAGAAAGATCGAATTTTTAGGTTTATAATGGGCTAGAACAGCAGAACTTAAACAAGTCGGATCAAATCGGCTTAATTTTAATAGTACGTTAATCATCTGTACTAAGCGAAAAACAAGAAAAAAAGAATCCTATTTTGGGCATGGTCTAGCTGGGATAGGGCCCATTCCAAGAAACATTTCCTGGACAGCTTGACACGTTGCTGGC